CCGTCGCGGTGCCCGAGCGGAACCGGGGCTGACCCTGCCCGGCCGGGGAGGCCCCTCCGGGGCGGCGCTTCCTCAGGAAACCCCCGGCCAGCGCCAGTGTCACCGCAGCCACCACCAGTGTCACCGCAGCCGCCACCAGTGTCACCGCAGCCGCCACCAGTGTCACCGCTGCCACCGCTGCCAGCACCGCCAGCACTGCCAGTGCCACCGCAGCCGCCACCAGTGTCACCGCCAGCACCGCCAGTGCCACCTCTGCCACCTCTGCCACCTCTGCCACCGCTGCCACCGCTGCCACCGCCGCGGGGACCGCCAGGGTCGCGGGGGGCGATCGGAGCCGCGTCCCCGCGGTGTCACCACCCCCTCCGGGTGACAGCCGCTTGTCCCCCGGTGTCCCCGCGGCCATGCCGCTGCTCCGGAGACCCGCGGGGGGTTCGGCCGAGGGGGGACAGGAGGACGGGGACCCCTTCGCCACCAACCCCGAGAGTCGCCGGCGGCGCCGCGCCACCCTGGGCGGGCTGGTGGGACTCGGGGGACAGCTCGGGGGACATTTGGGACAGCTCGGGGGACCCTTCGGCCGCGCCCGACGCGCCCCCCGCGACCCCGCGGGACCCCGAGGCCGCCGCCGCTGCTCCGAGGATTCGGGGGTCCCGCGGCGACCCCCGGAGGAGGCGGCGGGGGGCAAGAGGGCGTCGCTGCTGCGGCTGGCCTTGGGGACTTGGGGACAGCGAGGGACAGAGAAGGCGTCGCCGGTGGAGGGACAGGCGGGGGACAGCGCGGATGGAGCGGGACAGCGGCCGGAGAGCGGCGGGAAGGACAAGGACAGGGACAGGGACAGGGACAGGGACAAGAAGCCGCTGTCGGGTGAGTGGGGACAGCGGGGGACACGGCGGGTTGGGGACACGGGGATGGTGACAGGGGACACGGAGACATTGGACATGGGAGGGTGACAGGGACAAAGAACGTGGACATGGGGACAAGGGGATGGCACTTGGTGACACAGGGACATGGGGACACAGCGACAGGGCCCTCGGGACAGGGAACACGGGGCAGGGGACAGGGGGACGGGGGACACGGGGACACGGACAGGGATGGAGACACGGGACTCGTGGCCACAGGAACACGGCGATGGCGACTTTGGGACATGGGACAGAGGTGTGGGATAAGGACAGTGACAAAAAACGTGGACATGGGGACACAGGGGACACGGGGACACAGGGGACACGGTGACAAGGGACACGGTGACAAGGGACACGGAGCCCACCCGCCGTGTCCCCGCCGTGTCCCCGCAGTGCTGGAGATCCTGGAGCTGATCCAGCGCCGGGAGTTGGTGGCTGCGGACGCTCAGATCATCGCGCTCGAGGCCGAGTGCTCCTTGTCGCCGTCGCGGCCACCGTCCCCGTGTCCCCTGCCCGCGTCCCCCTCCTCGGGCTCCCCGCCACCGTCCCCGAGCCCCGCGGGCGGCCGGAGGGAGCGGGACGTGGCCCTGCTCTACCGAGCGCTGCTAGCCCAGCTCTGGGCCGTGGTGGCCGAGGCGGTGGCCGCGGGGCGAGCGGTGGCCCCGCTGCGCGCCGTGGTGGCCGTGCTGGAGCAGGAAGAAGCGGCGGACGCCCGGAGCCCTCCCGGGACTCGCCCGGGGCGACCGCGGGGGTTGCGGCGGCGCTGGCACGAGGCGGTGGCCAGGGCGGCGAGCGAGCGGCTGGCCCAGGTAGCCCCGGCGGGCGGGTTGGGAGCCCGGCTGGCCGCGCTGGCCGCCAGGGTGGTGGGCGACCTGGGGGTGGTGCGGAGCCACGTGGCCCCCGCGTACCCCCCCGAGTACGGAGCGCTCGGGGTTTATGCCCGTGGCTACCACCGGGCGCTGGCCCAGCAGCTGCGGGCGCTCGCCCAGAGACCCCTGGACGTGCCCGACCTGTACCTGCTGCTCGACTGGCACAGCAACGCCTACCCCAGGTGAGAGACCCGCGGGGACACCG